GCAGGTCGTCTTTGTTTTTTTGTCGACAGATCTGCATCTCAAGCCACTCTATGTGCAGTCTTCCAGTTCAAGTGATAAAAAGGTGTCCAAAAGACAAGTGGTTGGTTTCGAAGGGCACACTAACTATGGAAATGAGTCAAAGTAGATCCCTAAGCCACCGTAGATGATTATGATCCAGTGGATTATTCGTTGTTCATTGATTTGCTTGGTCACAAACCGGCACAATTGCAGCGGAGCAATTGCCCAGCACCGGCTGCTATTGCCCAGCACCTCCCTGGTTCAGACGTGATTCGGTCGGTTCACATCCCGATGAATCGTAACCCAGACACGACCCATGGGACTGCCATATATGCCTACATAGGGGTGGTTTTGGGGGTCAATGTAGGCATATATGGCGTACATGGAGTGTTTGGGTAATGAATCGCTTCACACGCGACGTGGGACAAACCCTCTTTGGGACCGGACGTGTCGTTGAGACGGTCACTGCGTGTCGGTGAGGGTCCCTCACGCACACAGAACGCCGAGCCTTCGGGGAAGAGCTCAGGAAGGGCAAGAAGGAGAAGGCACAGAAGCCCCGGAAGCACGTGGCAGACCTCCGCAAAGAAGCCGACGTGGGTCTGGCTGCTTGAGGTCGTAGAAGAAATAAGCTCATCAAACGCCTACCACGCCTGCGACCATCCAATAAGTGTTTCAGTGGACTACAGCCGATAGCCTACGCACTGTACTTCATCATTGGGCACCCTTAGGTATCCATGTGGTCCAGGACCTATTCTTGGTAGGTGGTCCATGGTACTCTGTATATGCATCTATAGAATCTATTATATACCTTCAGTTCGAGCTCATCGACATCCTTTCTGGTTTGTTCCGTTCGTAGCGATGCCCTTGCTCCTAGTACGGCCAGGAGCCCCGTTCGTAGCCATGCCAGGAGCCCCAAATGTAGCTTCTTGTTCCTTGTTTCCACATTCTCTCCTACCTCCTAGCTGGGTCTGGATCTTTGTCTAAGAAGTGGCACGGACGGGTTGATTGGCTTGGTTCGGAGGTTTGACCTTTCTGGAGCTTGCTGACTGGCGAAAAGCCGGCACAATGACGCGCAAGAAATGCCACGATCCCTGACGAGCCTGAAGCTCGCTTGTTTGCTACTCTCATGGACCGCAGATTCACCATGTTCACGGCAAACGGTGTTCATTGTGTCCTTTAAACAGCCAACCACCTTTTTGGGGGGAAAACCTGTTGCGGGCGGGGAACACACAGAAGCTTGGGAACCCAAACGCGAGACGCGAAGACGACCGGGTCGTGATCGAGTCCTCGAGTGGTGTAGCGGGATTACCGATCCAGCTAGAATGTGTTCACTGTGATGAAGCATCAATACCAGAGCCCCTAGTTTGGAGTGCCTAAATTGACCTCACCTCAAACAGGGGCCCTGGTACATACGGGTGCAACCATCATCATCCACTGTTACTGGATGTTACTGGCAATGGGATATACCTCATCTATACCGACAGCACCTTCCAATGAATTCACCAATGGAATGGTCACCATCTCCAGCGCCAGGATGCCCAGTTGAGGCCAGCAGAGCGGCGGGGTGTAAAGTAGCGAAGAGAGATGAGGAGTCAGAGTTTTTTATGAGACAGATTGCACAGTTTGCTAACAAAAATTGAACATAAGAACATACACTCCCGGAAATCATCTTGGAAGTGCATGGCCCCGCATTTGGGACGATTTTCCCAAAACCAAAGAGGTGGGTTTCACTCCACGTAACCATCATGATTTCAGGGTGTGATGACTCATTCGGTGTTCTCAATCGATTTTGGCAGCCCCTACTAACATCGAAGTCTTCCATCCATGGTGAATGGGTCTCTTGGAGGTTCTTTCTCCCGTGTGACCCATCATGACCCATGTCAAAAGAGAGTACTTCAAAGACTCATCACTAAGTCGGATCAGCCAGTAGAAGTAGGCGACAAGTAGCGACACGGCTCTTGAAGTCTTCAAGTGTACTGGCTGATCGCCAGAGTACTTCAGAGTACCTACTTCATAGGATGAAATGTTCGGATCAGCCCCCCGAGCACCTTCTTCTTGCTGGGAAGAGAAAGCTGAGCACGAATTGGAGCACCAGAAGCTGCGAAGCCCTGCAAAAATAGCACAAACATATAGGACAAGTAAAGTGGATAATTTGTCGCCAGTCTTTGGGGATTTGGGGAACCTCATTGAACAGGAACATTAACAGGTTCCAGTTCGTTTAACATCTGTTCCAGCAATCGAAACGGCGGAGGCAGCCCAGTGGGCCTAGTAGAGCTTGGCTCTCTCAGGAAACGGACCACTTTTTGAGGAACCTGTTCTCATCAAGGAACCTGTCCTTCGGACTTGCCCCAGTAAACCTAATGTTGAAGCTGAGAACACCGGACTTGCTCTCTTAGGTTTCGTTCCCCTTGGGACTCTTCAGGGCTTTGCAGCCGCAAATGCTGCGGTGATCAATCACATGCCTATAGGCATCGCGCATTCAATAACCTAGGCAAGTGCAAACTGGACATGAAAAAAACAAATCATGTCCATTGCTCTCCGTTCGTTTCGATGTCCACAGGCACGATCTGGCCGATTTGTAGCCCTGGCTCCGCCTGCAGCGCGCAGCGGGAAGGTGTGGAAGGCGAGGCGGTGGAGGCCTGTCTCAGGATGGGAGGCGGTGTGAGAAGAAGCTTGTACACCACTTGAAGACTTGATGGACTTACTCAAGCGTGAGACCAAGGGAGGTTTTTTAGGATAGCCAATATGTCGATTTGCATATGTTCATATGGATTGACTCACTTTTAGAGCCGGGCATTCTGTGGTATTTGAGGGCTGGTACTATTGATGGACAACCTTTTGACATGCCTGAGAACCATGTGCAGGAAAATACGAGTTCCGAAAATGGGGAGATAATTTGGTATCTATCGTTTGTGCATGTTTGTAGTGTTTCTTCTAACAACGTGCTACGGTGGCTTTTGGTGGATATAGAGCTTCTCTGTGTAATTTAATACTATTATACATGTATACTGTAAGTCAATGTAAGTCGTGGATGTTCTTTGTTTGTTTGGCTTGGACATCCAGCTGCTGGGCACGTGAACTCTCTTCGTGCCTCCAGCTCGAGCTCGAGCTCGGCAGCGTCCGTCGCGACGACAAGGTGCTTCCACTGAGCTGTGCGGGTGCAGAACTCTGCGTAGCAGCCAAGGGCGTCCTTTGAGATCCTCAGCCAGGGGGGTCGGCCCAAAGACCTGAAGCGGTGCCCCAAAGACTGGTCGGTGCGGTGCGGCACACAACGAGGGTGTTGAGGGTTTCGGAAAAACGAGCCAAACATGAGCAAACCATAGCGAACTTGGACATTGCTTTCCTAGACGAAGCCATAGAGTTCATGTCATTTTAATGTTAGGGTCTTTTCGGGTGGAGGTCAATATCCATTTAGACTGTACTGTTTTTGCAGTTCTGTGACTAAAATTCTAGCCACCCAAATAAATGATCTGGGTGTTGATGCTGTTTGACCCCTAGCAGTTTCATGCCCCCTCGCCCTGAAATAGATGATCAGATGGAAGAGATTTTAAAGAATTGGACGTCAGGTATGTTTCTGAGGTTGCCATCAGGTCGCTGAGATGGGTACAGGAGGAACACTCCCCACCTCCAGCAGGCAATGCTTAGTCAACGCAAACAATTAGCTGCAAGGGCACCTGAAAAAAATGGACAATTGCGATTGTGTCCTGCATGTCATGCGTATATATACACTTATGAGAAGCTATATGGACTGGGCCAAGCACTTGCGCACCATGTTGTGCATGTGATTGAAGCAGAGGCAGCACGCGCCAGCAAGGACCGGCGAAGCAGTGCCAGCTTTGGCTTGGGCGGGTCGGATCTCAAAGCATCGGATCTGCCCCGTTGGGGCGGGTCAGATCATTTCCCTTCAGGTCGAGGGTACCCTCTTTGAGAAGCGGGTGCTCTCGGCTAGGGATTTCCACAGTCGTGGAGTGATGGAGTGGTAGGTGGTGGACTGATCCTGAAACTAAGTGGATGAAGTCGACTGGAATTGATATGTCTATTTATGTCTTTTAAATGTTAAACGTGAATCGCGCGAGAGAACTGGACAACTGGACAACAGATCTCCGAACCAAGCTTATTTCAACCGTGAACGTTGAGGGTATTGGACGCTTGCGTCCGATCTGTCCGATCTGTCCAGCTATGTTCAGCGTCCATGTGGATTATGTGGGTCTTTGGGGGGGGCAAACGGCTGAAGATGTTTGTGCAACGCTCCGCCTCCTCGGCATGGAAGAGGCACTTCATTGCTCCATGTTGCGCCATGCAGCAGTGTTTCAAAGCGTGTGCGACACATGTGGCTCTTCACTATTTGTTTGTTTCTCCTGAAAAGATCGCCAAAGATGAGGAACATCGGATGAATGGCAAAGAAATCTACTGGACTGGGATCGATCTTCAACAAAAATCTGGTTGCGGCCTGGTTAGTATGTGAAACATTGTGACATCCATCAGAAAAAATAACGCACACCATCATCGCTTGCTGGCCTTTCCAAATGATTTTCCAACATGTTTCACTCGTCGATTGTGCTCGACCGGTTTGGCAAAAGTCTCCTCGGTGTCCGCACCATAGACGGCCTTTTACCACCATGTTTAAGGGGCCACGCCATCCACATACATATATATATATAGTTGTGTCATGTTATTGCAGCCCTCTCTCCAACACACACATGAACATAATCGATGTTTGGAACATCGCTTTCAAAGGTGGTGCCATGCTGCTCACCCATGTTTCATTTGGATAGATGAAACAGATTTGTCACCTGTTAGTAAAGGAACATTGTCATCCACAGGACCATTTTCCCACTTCCATGATCATTTCAGGGAGTGTAGGTGGCTCGTAGACTTACTACGCTTGTCTTATTCTTCGTGTCCCACACTACCAAGCACGCGGAAGAAAGCCAGGCTGCTAAGCAATCGGATGGTGAAAAGAACACCAATGAAATTGGACAAACGAAAGCTGCATTCGCAAAGCTGCGCGACTCGCTGGCTGGCAGGCGCCTGTCTGCTTGGCGCCTGCCAGCCCTTGGGTTTTGGCCAGGCCTTAGAAGCGCTCAACAACTTCGAGACCTTTCCAGTGAAGCTGGTCTTCCAAGTTCCTAAGGCCTGTGATACAGCCAGTGCATCTCAGTCTCAGCGATCTCATTGGTCAGTCGAAGGTGAGATTTGTGTCCATGTTAGGGTGACTTTTGGGTCTGCCTACCCAGTTGGAATGTTAGGGTAGGATGTTAGAAATAGTTGGAAACCTCCACAAAAAGTGGATCACTTGCAGCCGTTTTTGGGGGATGGGTGAAGCCCCACTCAAATCCAATAGCTGGACTAGCAGCTTTCACCGATCCGAACCGCGCCACGTCGGAGTCGTGTTGTCCAGTGCCGAAGCGCGCGTCTCGCGCTAGTCCGGAAGGAACAAGGTGGAACAACAGATACCTACAGACCAGCGGGTCTGACTTTGGAGAAGATTGCTTGGGGCAGTTCAGTCTTACATACCAGACCAACACTGAAGACCAACTGCTGACAGGCCCAATTGATTCCAGACACTCTGTGTATGGAATGCCGACCTTTTCTTATAGGACAAAACCAGGTTTCAAGGTGGCTTTGGTGCGCTGCTCGTCGAACTCTGGCGGGGAAGGCACTCTGCTTGCGCTCTGCTTGCGCAGCGCACGGTGGATCGCCGTAGGGCATTTTTGGGTGTCGGATGGATCGAAAGCGCAGACAGCCTTTAAAGCTGGATCCGGATCTGGAGATGGACCGTGGATCTATGTGGATTTGGTTCTTGATGCGAGACCTAGGTCTGCCAGGAGACCTGGGAATGGCGTTTTCGAGGAGACACGCCCAACAGTTGGAGTAGTTTCTTCTTCAGGGCTCATCCGAACTTGAGCGTCTCAGCCAGGACATTCAGGAACAACTCACCTCTTGGGAATCTCTGTTTGTGACCTCATCCGATCGAAGATGAGGTCACGAACTGAAGGTCCTCTTCGGAAGGGTCGGATGACGGTCTAGACGGGGGCCGAGGCTGGCGCCGCGACGCCAATGGATGTCATGCAGCTAAAGACATGGGAGCACATGGTCTGAGACAGAGGGGCCGGCTGCAGGTGCGATCATCGGCAGGAACGTCCAAGGCACTGCCATCAAAGATGGCGCAGGGGCTTCATGAGCCTGTAGGAGGCGACCCTTTAACCACTTACTCTCCGAGCCATTAAGCTATATGGGAGTGTGCATATTTTTATAGGGGGATGTTTTTGGGATGCTTGGGGTGTAGACTTCCTTCTTTCAGGGGGTCTTCGGGGGTCTCCCTATTGTAAGACACGGCCTCTTTTACCGACGTGGAGTTCACCACCGGTTTGCACGGCGTTATTTTCTACTTTGATTCTTTCACGAAGGTCCTACAACCCCCAGATCTCCACAACGACTCCATGGTCAAGCATCCCCAGTCTGACTGGGGGTTTTAGGGCTTTTTAGTAGTGGTTTCAGAGGTGAGAAATGGCACAGACCCGACTTCATGGATGTCCAGACGACAGATGGGGGGTCCATATAGTATACCACCGATGTCTTGGGGTTTGGCTGCCATCTCTCAATCCACGGCCAGCCATGGCGGTGTTCGCACATCCATGGCTTTGCTTCCCAACAGTGCCAACCGTTTGACAACAGTTTCCCAACCTGAAGGCCAAGAGGAGCTGTCTGCCTGCAGTGCAGGTTTGCTCGGTGTTCCTAGGAGACCTCTCAGTCCTCAGTCAGACCTCGATCTCTCCTACCCAGTCAGTAAATAACATTTAGCCATATTTAGCCTGATTGATTTCTCCACTCAATGCGAACGAACCTGGAACATGAGCTTCACCATGAGGGAAACAGCTTGTACGTCAGCCCTTGGCTTCGGTCCTCACACGTTGTAGGTGGCCTCTGTTCACTTGCCCAGTGCAGCAGATGCACAGCAGCTGGTGGCCAAGCTTAAGGTGAGACGACCGCTCGAAGACGACGGCGAAAATCGCTCGACCAGACTAGGTACAAGTGATTAGGTCGCGTATCGACGGACAAGAAACTTGGATAGACTCATTCATGTGTCTTCCCCAAACAGACTAAGCTAGACTAGGAGGTCTAGACGTTTGTCCATGAAGAACCTGTTTGTGGCTCACTCATGCACCACTGCAAGTGTCCCTACAGATTTTGCGTCCTGCAGGAGAAGGAGCTGGTGCTTTTGCAGCCGATGTCGTTGGGAGGCAGCCATTTCATACTGTTGCGGGTGGCTGGTGGGGGAGGTCCAAATCCTGTGAATTCGGGGAAGCATTTGTTCTCTTTATTTTCAGAACCGCTTCTAGGTCTACTGATGCGATGGAATCATTAGAATGTTAATGAATGTGATAGCTTTTTAACCATGACAACTACAATAGCGATTCTATTCTTTCGATGTCGTTCCGTGGGTGTCCAGATGGTGTCTCACATCGTGTCGTGCTGTCCTGTTTGACCCGGCCAAACACCTGGTCCTGAAGATCGAGTAGATCTTCCAACAGTGCAACCTTCATGCCGAACTTCATCTTGAAAACCAGCCAAGGTTGGTATGAAGGCATGAATAGGTGAGTGGAAGATCTAGGTCTAGTGTTGTTTGTTTGACCAACTCCAGTAAAATGAGGTCCGTTCCGGACCTTTTGGGGTGTTCTTGATTGACATGACATAAATTCTGGCCTCGACTCCCTCCTTGCACGCTTCGTATCTTGCGGGGGTCTGGACCCGAAGCAAATGGACCTTCCATTTCAGGATGATGAGGCCAAGCTGACTCATGACCAAGGGACAAACAGAGCTTGGCACTTGGAGAATCTGAATGGCGTGAATGGTACGTATATTGTTTTCCTGGAACATCAGCATTTGTCGCCCATAGGTCCATGCTCAACGTTCAAAAGACCTCTATATCTTCCACAAGATCTCTGTCTTTGGGCTCCTCCGCTTCGATCCAGGAGCTTTCGTCCGCTTCGCTCCACCCACCTCCCAGTTCCGCGCACGCGCCTCGCCCTCGCCCCCTCGCCCTCGCCCTCCAGCCCCTTGTGCCGCCTCCACGCGGCACAAGGCGTGGCCCTGCGGCGCGGGGCCAAGCTTCTCCTGAAGCGAGGCTTAAAGATGAAAGGAGCGCCGTTGTTTTCACACGGAGGGTCCGCGCAGTTCCGCGCGCTCTCGGTTGGTCTCGGGCCGGGTTGGTATCGAGCAGAGTGCTGTGAGAAATGGGACATTGGGATGATGTTGGATGGATTTTTGGGAGACCCTCCAAGTCACTCACATAGACGTGGAAAATGGTGGGAAGACGATGAACTCCTCTACCCAGACGCGACCCTGGACCCTAATATGGAGGGGTCGGACCCTCATATATATGGAGGGGTCTGGGGTCTCAAATCCCGCAAAAACATTGTTTTCACTTCCATTTGAGTGAATGGGAGTGGGAGTGTATCTTTTTGGTAGGACCGATTCCTGAGAGTCGACCTTAACGTAAGGATTGTCCCCCTCGGTCTCACCGCAGGGCAAACATCTATTCGATGCCGGCGGATGCCCCATTCAAAAACAGTGTTTTCCCTAGCAAAAACCATGGTGTTTGTATCCCTAGGGCTCCAAGTACCTCCTCAGAAGGTCTTCGGACCCTCTAAAACCCACCCCAAACACCTTCTCAGAAGATACTTGGAGCCCTAGGGTATGTGAAAACCTGTATTTTGCATGATTAACTGTGGGCCACTGGGTGATGTTTTTCTCGTCGATGGATCCGTCCTCTTTCCACCCGGTTGCTTGGGCGAACACCAGCGCTCGGTGTCGCGCAAAACCACGAATCGTGGACTTGCTGCAGGAGAGGTGAAAGATGAGGTGAGCGAAGCGAAGACACGGCGCCTTTGGTGTGAAGTGGAGCGCGAAGACGTCGTCGCCCGAATTGTGGCCCCCCGAAGTCTGACGATGTCCCGATGTGAGCACGCACGCACGCACGCGTTTGCACGGTTCGGTCGGAGCTGCCGGTTCGGTCTCCCATGTTGAGCTACATACCCATGTGGACTCGTGTGTACCAGGACCCTCCTGTCGAGGTGCCCTGTCTGGAAGCCTTTTTCGGTAGTGTGGGGTAGTCCAGCCAAGACACCCAGGTCCAGGAGGGTCCAGGTAGACTCTTAGATATCTCTTCCCTGGGAGTCAAAGACTACAAAAAGAATGGTCTTTAGGGGACCTGAGTTCGGGAACTTCCTTTACTTCAGCCGGTCAAAATATCGTCGAACTGGACTTCTAGGGTCTTGATTAAGCAAAGATGGCTGTGCTTCAAGCTCCTTCAGTCCCGGCAGGTTCGATCGAAGATGATCGAAGCGTCCTCGCAAGCGTCCTCGCGTCCTCGCATCTTCATCTCGCTCCCAGTACTGAGCAAGTCTTCTGAGCCTCCCATCTCCAGACACTGAACCTGTAGTTGGCATCAATGCGCTCGTTGGTGAAAAACAGATTCTTTCGAAGATGTAAAGAGGCGCCAACCCAAACAGCCTTTGTCCGGGTTGGCGCCTCCACTCCACACCATGGATGAAGTATGATGAGGTCCTCCAGGGCCATCATCCTTTTGTTCTGACCGCACACAGTCACGCCGTGGACAATCACCATGAGGAGTTTCGTCCTTTTCGTGCAGACTCGTTGATCATCTTTGATCCTTTTCTTGGCGGTTTTTTCGTCCACACATGTTCCTCAACGCACAGAACGCACAGGAACCAGCCACTGAGTGGTCTTGCAGATGCAAAGGGATCATCACCTTGATTCTGGGTGACAACAGGATCACACTTGCAGGTGTTTCTTTGTGCTGTCCTTTCTCCAAGCTCCATGGTTTTCATGTGTGCTCACTGGATGCCTGCTATTCATGTTCAACTGACCAGTATCTCTTATAACTTATACCTCTAGATAGACTATCAGCCAGTACTATCGCCGAAACTGCGACCAGCTCTTCGCCTCTAACTGTGAGGCTCACTCAGCTCTCTGACTTTCCTGTGCAACTGGTCTTCGAGTTGCCAGAGGAAGAGACCGCAGAGGAGAGACGCAGAGCCCACCGGTCCTGACCACTGCAGGAACCCGGTCCACGGTCGGTGACGAACGGCTCCAAGTCGCTCGAGCTCGCGCGCCCATGGAGCGGAGCTCTGGGGTCGTTCGCACCGTGAAATGAGGGGTAAATCTGCCAGTCCCTATACCCATACACTCCATGTGTGCCATATATGCCGATCAGGCCAGGGGTGGTTGACTGGGGCGTCAATGTAGGCATATATGGCAGTCCCATGGAGTGTATGGGATAGGTAAATCTGGCACCCCCCACCAGTCCTACAATGTCACCCTGCGCATGTTTTGACCTGCTGGGGGTGGTCATGGTGTGTGAGTGGCGACGGTGGTCTTCCTCGTTGGTGTGTCTTCATCGATTGGGAGGGGGTGTCAGCAGTGGTATTAGCTGATTTTGCTTTCTGTGTTGGGCTGGATATGGCTGGATGAAGACCTCGAAACGGACACCTGTGAAGGGCTGCCGTAAGAGCGCTATAGACGTCCTTACGTCCCCCGATATAAAAGTGACCACTGCGATGTGTAGGACCTCGAAGAAGGAGGAATGAATATACCTGGAGTGTCAGTTCGTTCCTCCGAAAATGGATGAAAAATGACAAGCGCCTGTTTTAACTATAGGGTCATGTCCCATTTTCTAGGGTACTTTGGAGAGTCTAGGTATTGGAATAGTACTTGCTAGAAGTGGATTCAACAGAACATGTTCCTGCTGCCTTGCGCAAGGGTTTGGAGGGTCCAGTCGTACCGAACCTGAGAAGGTACGACTGGATCCCTAGGGCTTTTGGAGGATAAAGAGATGTGAATACAGTGATTCAGCAACTACGGGTTGAAGAGTTGGGTTGCATGTTGAGGTATTGAAAGCAGTGCTTGCCCCCACTCTGGGGGGGATCAGTTGATCGCACGAAAAACTGTAATGACCGGTGCTACCAGTAATGTAGAATCTTGAAAAAACACATACATCCCCCTCTTTAAGATTGTAACACCTTCAGGGTGGCTTTTACGAAGATCACGCAATTGATGCCGTCGACTCGTTCAATGCGGTCTGACTCAGTGCTCCAATGTGATGATGTATCGGAATCATCGGGATTCCAATTTGTTTGTAGGCTCCATTTGTAGCCTTGCGCCGCCTGGCACTGTGCATCACTGCGCTATTCTGTGCTTGTTGATGCTTTTTGGGGGGTTCCATGTCCGAAAGCGCCCCCCCCAAAATCCGAAGCTTCAGAGACGGGTGACTGGTGCAACTGGTGGTAAAACGTGTGCTTTCTCCAGTAAGCGAAATAAGCTCGTCCCACTTCTGGCGAGCCTGCACCTCGGCCGCAACATGCGGAAACAAGAAGCATCCACTTTTGTTCAATGCCCATTAAAACATGTTGCCGCAAGGGATGGAACACACAACCCAGTGGACTCTTTGGAAATCATTGGACATTTCAGAGGATGGCTTTGTACAGTTACATTTTTCAGAGTAGATGGCACAATCTCCAAAAGGTGGTTTTGAAGGACCCCCATATAAATATAAGACATCTTTGGGTTTGTGTCATCTACTCTGAAACCACTGTATATAGTTTTGCTTTTTTTGACCTGCTTTGGAGACAGCGGCTCCCGTTTTTACACAGCATCCTCCAGGCTGCCCCTCTTTCGCGTGTCTTCTTCCCATGTCCACCCTACGGGACCCTTGGACCCTGCGAGGAGAAGCCCAACATGGGTCTGGTGAAGTTGAAGGACCTCCCGGCGATCGATGGCTTTGCAAGCCCGGGACGCCCGGTGGAAGGAGCGGTTTGCTGAAGATGCAAGGTTCTCAATGTATTCTCAAGCATGCGATCATATGGAGACCTGTTGGAGGGTGCTGGTACATGTTTCTTGGATCATGTTTTGCTTTACTTGAATGAGGTGGTGCAGGTGCAGGGAAGAGACATGACTATTTCATGAGGAGCGGCGTCAGAGGATTGGGAGGGGGGCTACTGGTTTCTCCAGGTCCTTAAAGCCGCTTATGCATTGCCATGCCTCAGAGGCATCCAAGTCATGCTCTGAACATATTGCTGTAATCCTAGGTGGGCTGCAATCAGAGGCACCAGGTCTTACGGCGAGTTCACCTCCTCCACGCGTCCGCGCGTCCGCGGCGTGGCGCCTTGAAGCGAAGCGAAAAAGAGCCTCGTCGCCACAGCACCGAGTCTCCCAGCCCGTCCTGAACGAAGTCCCAGCATGGTAGGACGAAGTCCCAGCTGTCCCAGTGTTGCAAAACAACCAATGGTCCAACTTTCACCATTCCGTTAGGACACGACGTCATGGTGAAGACGCCCAGTGAAGGTTCTGACGGTTGCAGAAGGTCCTGATGGGCCGATGCCCGTCACTGGTGAGGTGAACACCCGAAACCCCAAGGCGCCCGAAGTCACGTGGCTGGATGGGTCCCGATAGTCACAGCAGCACCTTTGACCAAGACTCAGACCTGGCAGCCACTGAAGTGGGCCTCACTTGGATCAAGAGAGGTATCCAGTGACCGTAAATAGGACCTTACTGGGGTACCTGACCTATGGGATAGTCTATAGGGTTCTTCAACCTCTGTTGGGAAGTCTGAAAGATCCAGGTTCATTGAGTCTCGAAGACGCCGTGACGAGGCCGAGGTGTCACCAGGTGTCACCAGTCCAGAATAAGGATGGCAGGTCGTCCGTCCGAGCGTCTCTCCGGAGATGTTTGGTCCACATGTCCCAAACAATCCGATCATGTAGATCATGTAGACTTTCGATTACAGTGGATTGAGAGTAGATGGCACAAACCCCAAGATGTCTTTTATATAGGGGTCCATATAAAGAACCTTTTGGGGATTGTGCCATCTACTCTCAACCCACTATATATTTCAACCTTCCAGGCCTGAGGTTTACCATCCGTTTTCTATTCATCAATGAATCAAGAGTCTACAAGCTTTGTCTACCACTGTTCTGAAGATAGGAGGCAATCTCTGACATCTCTCGTTTTGGTGCTTTATGACATCTACCAGCCATACAGCTCAACGCACCATCGCCCAGGCCATGGCATGTTTGCCAGAGAGGGTCGGACTCCAGAGCCCAGCAACTTCTCCTGCGGGAGGCGACAGAACGAAGCGAGGTTGGGGTTCATACCAGCATTTGACGGTCTTTCTTTAATGGGACATAGTATATATATATATCATAGTGACTCTCCCTGAAAGGAAAGAGTGACACTCCCCCTTTCCAATACTTGTATTTTAATTCCAACAAGTCTATTTCTATGCATGTTCTATGTGTCTCTTGAACTCAGACAAGGACTGGGAGGTCAAGGACCTACTGGCTCAAGGACTGGCTCGTGACCTGGAGTCTCTGCCCAACCAGGTCATCCACCGGTCGAGCCGCGAGCTGGCTCGAGCGGTCCGTCAGCCGTGGGTGACAGCTGAGGACTATGGCTGACAGGTAAGGACCAGTTGGATCTTGTGGGAATGTCAAAGGTCGAGATTTTGGAACAGGCCAAGATTGATTGGTCCGCTTCTTCCACGTTCATAGTGTTTAAGGTGCAAGAATTCTAAGCTGGGTGGCGGTTTCAGATATTTACCAACTGTGATTCAACCTCTACTTCCTTTACTTTGGATGATTGAGCCTGACTAACATTTGTTCATAAGTGAGTTGAAAGCACCAACCAGTCTAGGACCTGCTAGGATGGTGCTGGATTCAAACACTGGCTAGTTGGTCACTGCATTCCTAACTGCTACACGACCACTGCCCTTGGCACTGCTAGACTCTTCCGAGTGTTCTGGCTCTTCCGTAGGTCCGAAAAGAGTCGCGGCACGGTGTTCGACACCAAAATGGGAACACCGAAAAAGCAGACTTGTCGGAGGTCAATTGAATGTCCGGACAGGCGACCGGCCAAAGCAGCGGCGCTACCCAGTGCTTTGGTGCCTTGGGTGATGGGCGAAGAGACATGGCAGGAGTAATCAGGAGTGTAACGGCACTGCAGAACCTCTCCAAAGAAGAGGTGCAAAGAAGGCATGGGTGAAACAGGTCTTGGGACAAAAGTGAGCCACGTTTTAAGTCTGGTGGGTTTAGTCCGGCAAGCTGTTGATTAGTTGAAATGCTTGCCCAAGGCCTATGCATGTTCCTACAAAGATGAGGTGAGTTGAACAGTACAAGCCGATGACATGATTTTTGTTTTGAGCTGCTACAATTTGGTTTGACAATGATGTCCATTCTACTTCACCCTCTGACATGTGATTGTCTAAACAGGAGGTACTTTCAACCAAGCAAGCCATGTACACTCCGACTCACTAACATGGAAGTGGAAAATGGTCCTTGGAAGACCATTTCCTTTACGAACAGGGTGCTTTCCACTTGCTGTGAACTTTTTTGTGCTACCTTATGGACTGGCATTGTGACGTTTCCGGACGACTCTTGCCCCACACCAGCTTATGTGAAATCATATTTATTAAATCCCTCCTGTGGTGTACCTCCTGCATGACCTGACATGGACATCAAAAATTTCAGCTAGAGGAGAGCAGAGTATGAACCCTTTTCAAACCGTCGTTTCTCGTTGTGTCTCGGATCTTTTGTTCAGCTTCTGAAAGAGATCCAGCCCTTCCCAAATTCCAGGTCTTTCATCATCAACCCATTGGGACTCCTCATTCCAATCCTAGCATCATCTAAAGTTGGGTTGAGTTAGGGGAGACCATTCAGGGTGTGTGTGTGTGTGTGTAATTGTTTCTTGAATTCAGAAGAAAGAGAACTATCCAATAGGGAGACACACCTTTCGACTGGCCTTCTTAGAACGACTTTCATTGCGGAAAGAAACGGTCTGATTGGGCCCGCGTCAGGCCGCGGGCCCGCGTACGCGCTCACCTGACGCGGAAGTCCTAGCTGTCAGGTGGGCATTTGGTCCGATGTGGGCCGCCTCATTGCCAGCTTCAGTGTGGCGCCTGGAGGTTTCTATCGCACATTCCATCAAGTGGGATGGAGGTGTCTCGGGCACTGGAATTGTCACTGGAATTGACTAGGAGTCACGGCTATGCACAGACTGGATACACTATGACTTAACACATATAGAAGTGGATGACACCCCCCCTGTGGATCAAGGACAGTCTTCCATCGGTATCACGTGCTGAGGCCTTGACTTGCAGGAGCTTCTAGGGCAGCTGGTGCCCGCGCAGGCAAGGCAACGCGTGCGCCAAAACCGGACGATATACAGTATGTAAATTTGGGGTTGTTTTCAAATGCTTTCAATTTTGATACGCATTTAGTATGGCATCTATATAGAAACTCGGGTGGAAACAGGTTGAACACAGTGCAGTTTGAACACAGATGATACAATCCATCAGGAACGAAACTTGTTTGTGTCAAACGGACAGTTTGTGGTGTACCATCCGCATGCCCTTTGCATCGACGTTTTCCAGAGCATCAGTTCGCACGTTGTGCACCCGGATTCCGTGCGGATTCCACAGTTATCCAGAAAGCTTCTTTTTTCAAGACTGCAAAGTGTTTTCTCGAACCTGAGAACTTTGCAGAACTGTAACTCCAAAGACTGGCAGAGTCTTTGACAGGAAGTCCCTCCAGTAGTCCCAGGCAAGAAATACCAAGTGCATAGAAGCAGAACATGGGGGTTGCAGGTCAGGCCAGGCATGACAATTGAGGCGAGGGGATTAGACTATTCTTCCCTGGACGGCTTGGAGGCCCCCAGTACTTCCAGGGAGAATGTTCACCAGAAAATGGCGGGTTTGGAATCAGCACGAGCTTGCTCTCTATATCACATGAATGTGCTGACAGAGGCTTGACAAGCCGACTGGCGGCATTGATGTGATCATATCTCCTAGTTCGATGTGAACACAGGTCAGGTGGGCTCAAGTTGAGGTTTTGGCAATTCCGATCCAGCGTTCACTTGAGGGTCTCACTACTGCTTGGTTCCGTTGTTTGATGTCCAACACGCCTCTTTACTGATCCGAGACACCGATGTCCGCTACAGAGGCGAGACGGCCGATGGCCTTGAGTGGGTTGATTGCCCTTCCCTTCGACCATGAAAAGGGTTGACCTGGTTTTTGGGGTCATGCCTTAGCTGATTCGGGATGACCCGCCTATTGAAATGCATGGTTGCTTGGTTGGAAGCCTAGGGTAGAGAGACCCGCCAAGTGTACAGCCTATACCGACTCCGCATCGATCTCCGCATCGACCCCGTTGGTGTACGTCGGACCGTTAGAGTTTACTTCGTTTCCCGGTCGCCGACGCGGCGTTTCCGGTCGTCCGGTCCGTGCCGCGGTCACTGGCGCCTGCAGATGGTCTCCGAGATCTTGGAGAAGAAGGCGCCCTTAATGGGCCATGACCTTCCACCAGGCACGCCCTGTCTACCGGACCGCGGCGCCGGTCACGTGGCAAACGCATCAAACCCGGGACCCGGAGCTCCGGTGGTCAGACCTGGCCACCCCAGTCCCAGTCCAAACGAAGCTACGACATGCTACGACAGGAGTGGAAGGGATACAGGAGTGAATCGGAGTGGCACCGGATCGTTGGCTTTCTGGACATTGCTTCATTTCAGTAGCTGCAGAACTCTACGGAAATACATTGAGCAGATTTGAGCAGGATACGTCGGTGATAGACCAAGTTCATCCGATCAATGGCATCATGAATTCACCAAATGGTGCGTGAACGGCGAACGGGACTGAGACGTACTTGTTTCTTGTCGCACATCCGCCGACCCAATGGGCAAGGCTGGTTTCAGGGCTCAATCAGTGCGTGTTTCAGCTCTTGGCTTCCTCATGGGACTGTCGCAATGCAGAGAGCAAGATCAAGACGTTTCTGTCGCAAGTAACCACACATACCCTTGTCATGTTGTATGACGGGACCCACCCCAATTGGATTGAAAAGCCTCTTCCTATGTGGGAGGTTTCTTTCATCAAGAGTCTACATGAACCATGTGTTCCGAGACTGAGACTGACCACCCGGGAGACCGGTCGACCGGCCGAAGAAGCGGAATGAGGTCATAAAGCATCTCCAGATCTCATCTCCCACGTTCGCACAGATGACATGAGGAGAATCTTTCTATGACTGGTAGATGGTTTCGTTGGGATCTCATTCAGCCGTGGTGAACCCATGTTCAAGACATGATAGAGGGTAATAGGATGTTCACTTGTGGATGTTCACTGAACATCACTGGTCATGTTCCTTTGGCCAACCATCTCCCCAACAGAAATCAAACAAAACACATGCCCCCCAAGAAAGTGGTCTCTGGTGACCCTAAGATGTTGCTGTGTCCTTTCATGTGTGTTTCTTCATGTGGGTGTGTAGCTCACTCAAGACATGAGAAGACCAAACCCAGGCAAACAACGAGCCCCTGGGTTAGTCTACCCTGCCATGGGCACCCCAATGGATACAATGATCGATTGCCTTGACTTTGTCATGTTGTTTTCTTTCTTCTGTGTTTGTTCTTTTTCTCGAGGAAGCGATAGGCTTAAGCGGACACCGCTGCACCGGGTCCGCGCGTTTGTGCCACCCGGTTCTCCGCCGGGGGGCTAAGCGCCCAGCTGGATCGGAGCCTCCTCGCCGGAACAGACGGTTCCATCCCAGACGACTGGTGAAGACCGCGACGGGCGGTTAGACACGTAGTAACTGACGTCTACGGATGTCTACGGAGGTATGATCTCCCAGAATCACCCGATTTCTCCGTGGTTTCGTGAGGGGTCAGGATGCGTGTTGGTGAGGGCAGAACCCTTGGATTGCGCAGAAAGCGGCGCCATCCGGCGGAATCTGGGTTTCCACTCGACCCTTTCTGAGTTCCTTCTATGGCATTTCTATGATGTTCATGTGTCTCTTGGGTGCATCACCAAGATCTTTGCTCGCAACTGGGGGGTTCATCCCGCACGTGCTATAAGGTGGGGAACATCAAAGCATGTTCACACGAACCGATCCACCCCACCCATGGTGGTCGCTTCTCTCCAGCTGCCCTTCGACCTCTCGTGGCCAGGTGAGCTGCCCTTCGACATCTCGAAGCATCCAGCATGCCGCCATGCCGAGAAGTCACTCAGCCGCTGGTCCGAGGACGCCACCCCGGGCCACCGGTGGTGCGGTGGATAGCGCACTGAAGTGAGGTTCGTGAGGTTCGATTTGTCGGACATGGTGAAGTGCAGGGATGGGTTGATTTGATGTCTTTGTGTCTTTTGAATTCGCCAGAGGTGAAGGAACCAAGTTGGAGAGGTGACATAGAGGTGACATGTTTTAAAGGGGACCACCCTTTTAAGACTTTCAGTGGTTTCAGAGTAGATTTTGCAGGCTTGGTTTTAGCCCGACGAATGTCTCGGAACTTTGTGGTTTATAAGCCCCAAGTTGGGTGGTTGATATAGACCCCCTTCCACTAAGACATCGGGGTTTGTGCCATCTACTCTGAAACCTGAAAGCCTTTCACCAGAAGCTGTTTGACTCAGCTGCTGGACCATGTGATGACCACAGTCATTGTTACGTTACGTGGATGGCATGGCCTCGATTTCGATAAGACCATTTTCCAAAAACCAAACCCCCCCAGACATGGATGCACGGACTTGCGGTTCGACGCACGCGCGCCCAAAAAACCGCCCCTTGATCACCTAATGTGACGGGTAGAGGTGGGGTGTGGCATGTACACTGTGGGACAACGGCAATTGCACAAATGAATTAGATCCCGTCTTGAGATGACTGAGAAATAAGTAGCTAAGTGAGATCCTACCCATGCAAGACTAAATGAACTGCTGCCAGACGCCCACTATGGGAAGCTTACAAAGAGAAAGTCTGTACACCTCAGCGTCGCGCAGCGACTGGGTCGTATGCAGCGAAGGAAAAAGGCGAGAAGGCAGGGTCATCAACTCATGAGAACTCGCCACTGCGCTTTTTGCTATGACGAAATATGAAATATCAAAATGACGAGTCATTGGCTCAGGCTGATGTCGATATGTAAGTGCCTTTTGGCCACATAGGACTTCAAAAGTCATCAAAAAGAGTCTTCAAAAAAATCGCCATCAAGCACGACTTTCAGAGCGTAATTTTCGGTAAAAGCCCGAGTTGGGAACCTCCGTAGACCCTTTGAGGGTCGAGTGAGTCTATTTCCAAGCCTAACAACTCGACAAAGCAAAAAGGAACTCCAAGAGAAGATACCATCACAGCGACTACACCATCTTGGCTCCAAGAACACCCAAACATAGAATAATGTCTCGTCTTCCTCGAGGAAACATGCCTTGCTCATCTCTTGACAGACTTCTGGAAACTTGGCGGATGTCGTCACTAAATGAGTCGAACACATTCCAAGGTTGGTCTCTGCTATGATCATCTCATGGCTGGTGCATATCGACGTGGATAGTCATAGTGTCATGGCTCAGTTTGCACTCCCCAAAGGGGAAGTGACAGACATGCCGGCGTGAAGGCTTGAGCCACAACGCCTCCCCAGACATGGATTTAAAACCCCTTCAAATGGCGATATATCTGGGAGCTTTGATTCATCAAGAGTCTACATGGTGTGGACCAAATAGGGGGACCTTCTAGTCCCACTCAAAAGCTATTCGGCCAGGGGGTCTCCGGAAATACACGCCCACATGTAGTAGTGTCACCACCACCTTGACTCTTCCCAACACATTTCTCGCAACCCGTCTCGGCTTCGGGTGTCCCCTTGGCAATGGCCCCCACCCTAGCAGCGATGCCCTCTAACCTAGAGGCAATGGCCTCCACCCTAGCAGCGATGGCCTCCAACCTAGAGGCAACGGCCTCCAACCTAGTAGCGACGGCCTCCTTGAAATTGCAGCCGAGTGAACTTGCAACTTGTTGAGGAAACAGTCGAGTGATCAGCAACAGCTCAGTTTTTTGCACTTTGTATGGTGGGCCCACATTGCGGCCTTTGGTCCTCACCTTTGCACGCAAGTACGGGAGGGCTCCGTCTGCATCTCAGACGCATCTCATGTTGTTTTTGTAGGACATGGCCTTCTTCCGGGAGCGTGCGGCCAACGCTGCCCAGTACTCCTTGAAGATGAAGGTGCGGAATCGGCCGGTGCAACCTCCGATGATTTGGACGAGTTCGGTTTCTAGGGTTCCACAGCCACTGTTCGGCCCCTTGTTGTTGACTCGCTGCTTTGAAGTTCTAGCAAAACAAACAGGATTCCTATGCCAGTTGTTGCTACATTTATTGTTGTAGCCAAGTGGCTGGCTCGGTAGGGGCCCCTGATTTAGATATACTGTATTTACACTACTGGGGTGAGGAACTAAAAACTATATGTGTGATTATAATGGACTATATACCATGAACATGTGTCCCCATTGTTTTGGGATGCAAAAGGATTTCAATTCGTTCATTCACAATGGAGACACTTGACACCTACATTTGCATTCTTTAGTGATGGCTGCAGATCCACAGCCCCCTATGAATAGCACATTTGTTTGTTTTTTCCTGGGTGTCCATGGAAACCACTGTGACTGCCATGGTAGGGTGAATGTTTTGTGGCGCACCTCGGCAAGTTTGCGGATGGCCAGTTTGTGGGCCTGCCTCATGAGGCCCTTGTCCTTGTAAAGGCCTCAGGCTTGACGCATTCTTATTCTTTAATGATTGAACATGTTTCAACCCACAAGATATGTGTTTCTTCTAATATATAATGATGAGCTCAACTGTCGATTTGTGCGGCAGTAACCGCTGCCGAAGAAAGACACTATTCAATTGCCCAGGTGTTGATTCTTCTATCTACGGCGTTCTGGATTTGGTGTTTCGGCTTGGGGCACACCGACTGATTAGTTTTTTTTCAGAGGAGAAACCAATGCCAAACCACTCTTCCAGGTTGGAAAAAAAGTAAACTCTTGAGTAATACTGTAACTCCACCAAACATGGATAGTAATTAAACACTCTTCATATGGGGGGCTCTACTAACCAAGAGTCTACATTACTCACTACGGAAGTTTGCCTTGTAAAGACCGTGACTTACTTACAAATGAGTGAGGATCGAAGCAGTCCCGCCTCCATTTCCCTGCGATTCCTTGGTAGGCGTTGCAGACATCTCCCGACAATGCCACAGTGAGAAGCCCTTGGTTTCAGATGGATGAATGAGGAAGTCTCGACAACGTCCAACACAGTCCTCCACAAAGCCCCAAATTCATTCAGTCAGATAGAAGTAAGAACAAACTATATGTGGTTTCGCCGCAGTTTCATTGATTTTTGGAAACACGTGTGTGTGTGTGTATCCCGTCTCCCGGAATACTACTTCGCTACCTCACAAACACAACACTTCTCTCCAAGCTGGGGGGGCTGGTTGTTCATGCAAGTACCAGCCACCTGCATTGAATTTGTCAATCCTTCTTTGTAATAATAGTGATTCTACGTACTGCTCAACGCTGTCTCCTACGTTGTTTCGTAGTAAAGGGCTAATGCATTCGTCTACTGCAGTATAGAGGTCTAACGTTCACCATGCAGCTCTGAAGCACTGAAGGTTAGTTTCATGGAGCACTCTTCTCAAGTGTGTGTGTGTGTGTGTGTGTTTTTGAGCCAAGTCCACTCTTCCAGATGGGGGTTCACCACTCCATGTCTCCCATGACTCCGTCAACTCACCTTGACTGGCGTGCGCAGATGGGTGGTCAATGGCCTTCGATGGATGCCTTGTCACATCTACAGCAAGAGATCAACCATCTGAAGGAGACCTGACGTTGAGTTTTTTTGGTTTTGCGACACGGTGACATGGTTTTTCTCACGTGCTGCATGTCTTGGTTCTGCAAACGTGCAGCGGAGAAGATGGACTTTGGGGAGGGCTGGTGAATGCACGAAAGAGATTGATCAGTGAAGAGTTTTTCCTTACCAGGAACACAGGGTGACCCAACTCTTGTGACTTTCTCCAAAACCCATTTTTGGACAGTTGTACTCACCCAGTTTAAACACAAATATCAAATATTGTTTAGAAACGCCTTGAGATTGAATGTTCTTGAAGTCGATTTTCTGACCGAACAATGCTTGACAGATCTGTCGGGGCGTTTGAGGACACGGATGAAGCGGCCGTGGCAGAAGCCTTGTCAGTGTCCCTTGGACCCATAAGACGTACCGGGTACCGGAGCACGGGTGATCGTTGTGCCAAGAGATGGGTGATGTTGGGGGGCCCTCCCCAGGTTGACCTGTAACAGTCGGACATATTCACTATTTAAGAGAAAGGTTTACAACTGAACCATCAGCTACAAGATCTTACAACAAAAACATAGGGATATACAGTATACAGGATGCACCGATATACCCAATGCTTAGTGAATTGAGACCTATGACTAGGAGTTCCATGTCGGGTGTGTTTTTGAGTGGATGTGACAGGGGCACCCCACAAAGTTTGGACACTCCCTGCAACTCACGGCAGGTGTGGCCCCAAAGACCAAACACATATTTTTCTTTTGCACTTCCATGTTAGTTCTAGGGAGAGTACATGATGCGGAAAACAGCCTCCCACCAAGCACCTGAAAGAACTTCACAGAACGGGAGTTTTGTCCAAATGCATCACTGGCAGTTGAGATGCTTACTTCCAGCTACGGAATGATGTTGCTTGGTTTTGGAGAAGATTTGGGAATCTCCTGCATGTCACGTGTTATAGTTACTTGCGTTGGCAGACATTCATGATCCGCGTGTGGGCAGGAAATCTCCCGCCCTCAGGGACCGACGCCACGTCCCGACCGCGTGAGGCTTCTGAAAGCTGCGGGCTTTGTGGACGATTCCAAGGGCGAGGCGCAGCGGAACGTGTGCGACGCGACGTGGCGTCCCCGACCTCGACGCGATGCGGCGTGGCGTAGGGAAGACCCCGCAGGGAAGACCAGTCTACCATCGAGTCCACTCAGCCAGGGCGGATCCTCGGTCTCCCTATGTGAAGAAAAAGAATACACTCATGAGAAGGTGCCAATGAGGCTCCAGTCGTGAGGCTCGTTGCTTTCGGACTGGGCTCGATCCTGGGGCTGAAAGTCGGAGGTCCAACCGGCCCCCGTCCGGATCGATCACCCGACTCGGGAGGCGGGCGGTTCGTTCGATTTGGCGGTTCGTTCTCGCTTTTGGGGGGTTCTATTAGTCGGTCAGATGCGGCTTGAGGCCTTTTCTGGTCACTTGTGTTTTTGGGGATGATCACATACGTATGATCACCCCTGCCCTGGGATGTGTTGCAAGCTCCGGTCCTTCCCCGCAAGCCCAAAACATCCCAAGACTGGAGGGAGAATCCCCTCGTGACACCTGACAACGCGGTTCCAGCTAGGAGCCATGCAAGTTTTAGCACACATTCCCACCATGGAATCCTCCTGCAGACTTGGATTCGTTTTTGTTTGTTTTGCTTTATTGCATTGTTCTGCTCGCTGTGATGGTCAGGCACCATGTCGGTTGCAAGATGTTGCAAAAACGATGAGGCCTTTGGGCCTACTTTCTGCAATAGACCGAATCCCAAACCGTTTTTGCTTGACTTTCTCCCCAAGAAAACGTCTCGGGACCATCAAACGGCACACCGAACAGGTGGGGGCCGACTCGGTCCGTCGGACGACCGTTCTTCCGTTCGAACCCGGGTAGATCGCAGCGAGAAGACACCAGGAAAGCCTTCGTTTCACTTTGCTACGCTACTGCGGACAAGAGCCCGAGGTCGGGATCGCCTAGTTGGGTGGATGGAGGCAGATGGTCGACGTGGGCGGTCGCGAGTGAAGGAAAAGGAAGAAAGAACATGAAGAAGCAGGTAGCAGGTCATGGGACGACTTGACCTTTCATTTCAGTATTATTCGGGGAATTGTCCTTTCAGAGCTCATGTGAGTTGTGAGAAGCACCAGTCCTGTTCAAGGCATTCCTGGCATTCCTTGCCCTGTTCAGCCACTTAACCAAAATAAGCAGCAACAGAGTCAGCAAAACCGGCGAGATCATCCAAATGTGGAACGATTGAGTCCGCCCTGTTCTTTGGCTTATTTTATGGGAACGATCCCATGGTTTTCGTGGTTTCGGCGTAGTTTGACATCCGGTAAATGAAATGCACGTCCAGTTTCGATGTTCTGTAACATTGGTGAGGTGCGAGAGAAATCAGATCATTTTCCTGCCAAAGAATCCTGGCCAGGGCGCCCACAGTCCCCACATAGGATTCGGGCATATGCTACTTGCAGTTCTTTGTTCTTTTTAAGCACGAGGAACTTAGGATCCTGCAGGAGCCCCGATAGCTTTGGTGACACGACACCTACTATGCTAGTCCAGCAATGGCCTCCAACCTACTAGCCTAAGGCACACACCACAAGGCCAGGCAGGAACGTGTCTATGCCAAGCGCTTGCATTGGGTTGGCTTCTCTGTCCTGGTAGCCATTTGTTGCACAGTGCAGAGACTCGCATCCACTTCTGCCGACTCGCCTTCTTCCACCATTTCGATGGCAGAGACTCGCAAGGACGGGCCGAAATTGGCAGTGAATGCACACATAAAGAATATCACATGAGATAACAACCAATTTCCAGGGGAAGGGTCATCATACAGTAGTTCATACAGTTTCTGTTGTGTCTAAAAGATGCAAACACACTCGTGTGTTGGACACCCAAACGTGTGTGATTTCTATATGTCCAACCACTCTGAACTTCAGGCTTTGAGAAGGCAAGTGTTCCCACCTCAGGCTCCGGCTTTGGCAATGATTGCTTCCATCTTCTCAGCACATCTTCTCAGTGAATGATCATCTTCTCGTCGACGTGGATGTCTTTGTGTTCGCACCACTTCCTAACTTCCTAGCACCCAACTCCGGAGCTGCTGGTGCTTCTTTTCTTTTTGCCTTGTCCCTATACCGCCCGTTCGGCCCAACGCGCCCAACCCAAACCGAGATCGCAGAGGGGCGGGTTCGGTTCACCGCAGAGGAGATCGATGAGACGGAGGCCTTTGGCGGCTTGGACTCCTGTTCGGGAGTGCGCTGCAACGGCGATGGGCTGATTGGACTGAAGACCTATGATTGGAAGCACCTGGGAGAGAAGATGCAGGTCGAAAGAGCGCGGTTTTGCGATGTTTTGTGGTGTTGTTTGTTGTAATTAGGGGTGGTGGTGGGGGGGTGTGGACGCCAATTGGTTTGGAGGATCTATACTGGTCTACCTTTGAGCTTCTGCTGAAAAGTTCTCATGTTTAACCCCAAACTTCTGGGAAAAAGCCAATTGCAATCCAACTCCCCCAGCATCCAGCAATTGCGGCCCATCCACCGCCCAGCCGTTCTGAACGTTCTCCTCTCCGACCGGAGAGTACGTATAGTCCACCATAAAGCCGATAGTTGGTATCAGCCACCCGCAGCCGACCCGCGCGGATCCACCAGAGAAGACCGTGCGGGTGAGAAGATGGGTAACACCGACCCGTGCGGATCAGGTATTTGTGCACTCCATCCCTGCCCTGCTTCGGACCGGTGAAGGCTCCACCACTTCTGAAACCTGGAGCCTCCTGGGTCGCACAATGAGATCGAAGTGTCTCGACACTTCGAACGTGTTCGATCGTGCCGAGATCAAGGACGAGCTTTCAGGGCGATGACGGATCGCTGACCCGAAGAGTTTCAGTGGTGCTGAATTGTTTTTTTTTTTTTAATGGGTTCCGGAAAGATGTTTAATATAGGCCGGTTTCATTTAGGCAGGGTTTTGAAGCACGACTTGTTGGCGAACAACCTTATAGCTCTCCCTGAAATCATTCGACGGACACCACCGGACGACGACGAAATGGTCTTCGGAATGGTCAGTCGTCCGAGTCGACTCTTTGCCTTATAAATACCTACCAGCACCCTCCAACAGGTCACCACCTGCGACAACCCGCGACTTGGAAGTCAACAAAAGCCTCCATTTCGGAGACCTGTAGAGTCGGGTGCCGGTATATGAGTCTTCCAGCAGGCTTTTTCCTCGTAGCTGTTGGGTCTAGACCTGCCACAGTCGGCATGGATCCGCGGTGGAACCACGCGTGAAAGCTCGACCACGTGAAGCCACGAAAACCCGTCGTGAAAGCTCTTTGAGGCGAAACTTCCACTGCTGGTGGCCATCATCATGGGTCTTCAACACTCCTTGGCCATGCTGGGTGGAATCATTACGCCCCCCCTCCCTCATCGCAGGCATCGCACATGTGCGATTTGGGAGAAGACCGACTTGGGAGAAAATGCGGGAAAAAGCACTGAGTGGTGCGGTTGAGGGGTTACTTTAAAGCAGGTGTCAGTTATATATCGAGTTATTGAATGCAAACAGGAAGTTGCAGCTTTGCGTTTATGCTTTGGAATCATGTCCATACTTGCTTTGTGTAGCTTTTGACTACGTGAAGCCGTATATAGACTAGTTCGACAGGAGGCGTTTTGACCGACTTGGCCGTTAGGGAGTCAGTCTAGGGTGTAGTCTACATCCAAACCTGATAGGTTCATATACATCCAAACTTGGAACAGCGGGATGCGCTGTCGGATGTTTGGAATAGTCGGTTCCTGCAAAGGGACCCTCCAGGTCTGGTGAAAGATGAAGAGCTGATGCTCCCGGTTTTCTGACGGTTGCATTTGCTGATGTTCCCCATCCTTTAGATCCATATGGGCCCATTTAGATCCATATACCTTTTGGGGTTGGACGTTGGATTTTGGAGAGAAAAATCACTTGACCATCTGGTCAGGTACATGAGTAGATCCTATGTCCATCATGATGTTTGTAGCGAAAGAAGAGAACCAGCAGTCACACAGAGCTCGGGGCGGTGTGTAGTCCCATCCAGTCAGTGGATGTGTTTTGGGGCACCCCGACGACCTCCATGGATAGCATTCCGACGATGGAACTGGAAGAAGCATCCACATGTTGAGCTTCATGACAGGAGATGCTTGCTTCAACGGCGATGCTGATCTTTGCAACTCCAGGTGACTTGGATGGTTTTCTTTCTTTCCGGAACACCGAATCTGATGCTCAAGGGGATAAATATGAAACAATACAGCAAACCCAAGTAGTTTCTGGATGTTTCCCTTTAACCATCTCTAAAGCCGTATCACCATCACGATGTGCAGTGCGATGTTCAAGCAAACCTGATGAGGTCAGCACTGATCCTGTGCTTTTGCACAATTCCTTAGCAGTTTGCCCCTCCCCTTGCGCTCAGCATTTGCAGCTTACCCTTTAACTCACAAACATGAAAGTGGACGACCACCTGTTTGTAGAGGCAGCTGCTCTTTGCAAAGGACACTTCCATGTGATGCGTTCATCGGAGTGTAGTTCGGTTTGACTTCTTTGACATGAAACAATCAGGGTCGCTCGCCAACATACTGTGACCATGAGGCAGTACATGATCTCTGCCGCTTTGATCGCCTCGGGCCTCTTGTCCTTGGTGCAGATCTTGCGTTGGAAGCTCATCGGCGGCTACACCCTCGGCACGGGCCTGATCTCAGCGCCCTGGCGGAGCGTGGAACAGCAGCGGTCCTGCAGATGGGATGAAGTAGAAGACGTCACCGTGATGACGAGCAGGTGATGACTCAGTGGTCTAAGTGGTCTAAGTTCGCAAGGTGAATGTTATGCCTGGTTTTTGCATTTTCACATGTATTTTTCCCGGAGTTGGACCTCCTGTTATATAAGTTGGACAAACGAGTCGACTAGAAGCAGCCGGTTCTACCGCCACACACTGCTTGTGCTCGCAGGTCATGGGCGTGTCCTTTACATTCCTGCCTATTGCGCGGGAAGTCGTGGTCTCCGAGATTGCCGCGGGAAACTCTGGAAAAGATGCGTATGGGAAGTTCTTGGGCCCCTTGGTTTGCCTGGTTTGGCTGAATCAGGTCATCTTTGATGTTCCTTATGGGTAAATTCCCTTCTGGGGAATACTCTATTATACTCTATTTTACGTTTTCCAGGTTCCTTAAAAGCAAATCCAAGTTTGTTTTTGAACATGGTTATACTTGGTTCGTTTCATGGCGGAGATATGTTGGGATGCACGCGTTCGTTTTCGTTCGTTCGTCTGTTCAGTGTCTCTTTCGGCAAACCTCCGCTTCTGTCGGCCATCCGTGGCCTAGGAACCTGCTTGGTGGCCTCCCTGACGGAAATCTTCATCTCCTTCGTGCCTCCGAGGATCTTGAAGAGCCCTGGCTGAGCGGCATCCCTGAGGAAGAGGCAAACAAAACAATGCCGAATGACGGACTAGGATCCCTGTAGGATGCCTGTAGGATGTCGGCCTTGCGTGATTCTGGTGATGTCCGACCTACTCAGTCCCACTTAGAGGTCATGACCTCCAAGATCTTTCTTGGGGGATTGGAGTGGGGATCGGTTACGAAAGCCAGCCTTCGTAGAAGGCGCTAGCGGAGTTGTGTCTGGCGAACGAAGTGAGTAGTTAGGGGGTCTGGGGGGGTGGCCCGAGAAAGGGACACGTCAACTCAGCACATGCTGGGGGAGGAGGGTGCTCCGAGGGAAGGTTTTTTGAGGTTGTGTTGGAGGTGATTTTTGAGGGGTGGTGATGCAAGAAATGCCAAATGCATCATTTGCATCATCTGAATGGAAAGGTGTAGTTGGCACCTTGCAAGGTAGAGAGACCTAGGGTAGCTATAGTGCAGCTACCAGGTATAGTACTTCAAGTTCCCTTTCCGTCAGGTGTGTAAGAGGTATAGCAACATACTACCTGAGAAGCTGCAAAACGAAAGCCAGCGCTTCCCTTTCTCGAGAACTGCGCGTCGAAGCATAGGATAGAAAGGTAGGTCTGCACCCTAGATCCACCATCCCACTCCATTTTCTTTCATTTCTCTACGGCAGCTCCGCTTGGCATTTGCCAGGTGGAGGCGGCCGTGAGACCT